TGACGCTGCGCCCTCTACAGCTAAGATGGTGAACAACAGCTCAACCTGGAGCTGGGCTGCCATGAGTCGCTGGCAATGGCATAGGCTGCAGTGGGGCTGGTTGGCAGTGGGTGTGAGCTTTTGTGAGCTGCCGTGAGCCACCGTGAGCGGCTGTCCAATGGCCGGTGAGCGACTGCCTCACCCGGGAAGAGCGCAATGATAATACCAACATGGGCCAGTGAAGCGACGTCCCCCACAACTAGGCTGAAGAACAAAAGGACAGCACCTTGTCTGTTCCCCTTTCCCGATTCCCCAATGCTGTTTCCTTCCCCCAATTCCACAATAAAATCTTAAAAAAAAAAAAAGAAATCTAGTGATCACATTAATATTAAACAAAACAGATTTCAAACAAGCAGTTTTACTATAGATTAAAAGCAATAGATACATCATACTGATAAAAAAGTCAATACACTATAAATATATATGTGCCTAATCACAATACTCTAACATATACAAAACAAAAACTGATAAACTTGAAAAAAAAATTGGAAATTAAACACATAAGTGAAAGAAAAAAAATCATAAGAGAAATTAGAAAATATTTTATATGAAATGATATAGCAAACCCTGTGGCAAATAGTTAAAGCAGTGCTTAGTGTGGATCTTATAGATTTAAATGCTTATATTAGAAAAGAAGAAAAGTAAAAAACCAATGATTTAAGTTTCTACCTTAAGAACCTAAAAAAAAAGAAGAGGAAATTAAGTCCAATTTAATTACAAGGAAGGAAATTTATTATTTAGTATTTAGTATATAAGAGTGAGAAATCAATGAAATATAAAATAAACTAGCTATAAGGAAAATCAATGATATCAAATAAGTTGGTTCTTTGAAAAGATAATCGAAATTAATAAACCTTTAGCTAAACTGATCAAGAAAAAAAAGGTAGAACAAATTACCAATATCAGCAATGAAATAGAGACATTACTACAGATTCTTCAGATGGAAAAGGATAACAAAAAAATAACATGAGCAACTTTATGCCAGTAAATCTGACAACCAGGATAAAATGGAAAAATTCCTTTGAAAGAGAAATTATCAAAACCAATTCAAGAAGAAACAGAAAACTTGAGTAGCACTATATTAATTAAAGACACTGAATTCATAATTAAAAACCTTCCTATTAAAAACACAAAAAAACAACGCCAGGCCCAGATAACTTCACTACTGATTTTTATCATATATTTAAGGAAGAAATAATACAAATACTACACAAATTCATTCAGAAAAGAGAAGTGAAGGGAACACTTTACAGCTCATTTGAGGTCAGTATTACCCTGATATCAAAGCTTGAAGAAGACATCATAAAAAAGCTACCAACAAAAAAATCCTTAACAAAATATGAGCAAGTCAAATACAGTAATATATAAAAAGAAAAATACCACATGACCAAGTGGAGTTTACTCCCAGAAGATTGATGTAACACTTGAAAAAAAATCAATGTAATTCATCATATTGATATAATAAAGGAGAAAACCTATAGGTCAATAAATGGAGAAAAAGCATTTCACAAAATCAACACGTATTCCCTACAATAACTCAGCAAACTAGAAATAGAAAGGAACTTCCTCAACCTGAGAAAGGGTATTCATGAAAAACCAACAACTAACATTACATACTTAATGGTTAAAGATTGAATGCTTTTCCCCTAAGACAGGGAACAAGGCAAGGATGTCTGTTCTTACCACTTCTATTTAACATCAGGTCTTAATCAGTGCAAAAAGGCAATATAAAGAAATAAAAGGCATACATAAAGGAAAGAAATCTAATAAATGAAGAGAAACTAAGTGAATTTATTAGCAAAGTTATAGGACACTGGTCAATATACAAAGATCAGCTGTATTTCAATATTTCCATCAATGAAAAATTGAAAAAAAAAATTAAAAATCTACTTCCATTTATAACAGCATAAAACATACTTAAGAATAAATCTAGGGCCGGCCGAGTGGCGCGATGGTTAAGAACTGGCTTGGCATGCCAGAGGGCCCCGGTTCCGATCCCACATATGAGGGTCAGTGACACTGCCCTCTACAGCTAAGATGCTGAACAACAGCTCAACCTGGAGCTG